GAGAGTGGGTGAGAAGGAGGGAATGGAATGAAAATAAAAAGCTTTCTTCTTCTTTCTTTGGCCTAAAATGCACACCCCTTTCCTTTCTGCTAATGCAGGGTCTGTCCCTGCTCTGAGAGCTGATTTAAACACGCCCAGGCCAGGACCCCACCCCCATTAACCTGAGTTCGTTGAGCCTCCTACACGCCAGGTGCAGGGTGACAAAAAGGAACAAGCTGTCTAGTTCCAGAGAAGGTCCACAGAACACCGAATGGCCAGCCGCACCGCAAGGACTGGAGTGCTGATGGGATGGCATTGGTTTCCTGAGGGTGGGGACAGACCTGAGTGGCCAGGAGAAGGTTGGGGTGGAGGGGCTGCTCTTTAGCAGATGTGGGGACCACACTGGGCTCCAGACTGAGAGGGAATGCAGCTATAGGGCGAGCTGCTACTGTGCCCAGCCAGAGAGGCCTTTGAGCCCTTTCACACACTATGCACTTTTTTTTTAGTTCGGAAAGCAAGAGGGTCCAGAGACTAGGCATTTCTAACTGCCACTCGTTTGTTTTGTCACACTTCTGCCCTTGCTTGTCTTCCTGTAAAAGGCGGTGAAGTCTGTCACACCCCCACCATGAGACTGGGGAGGGAGTCCGTGTGAGAGGCTGGATGCTAAGGTGCTGTGTGCGCCAGGGGCCTCGCACAGGTGTGGGCATAGAGGGGTGTGTGTTTCCATTTGTCCTTGCTTCTCCTTGTGTCTTGTGCACCCACCCTGGAAAGCTCACTCCCTTAAGTGTGGTTGCCCACTGACTCTGTGGACCCTCTCTTTAGCCCACATAGCTTGTTCCTCAGACATCTTGTACCTATAGTCTGGGCCAGTGACTGAGTGTCACAGGCAGCAACCTCTGTGGTTATCTCCTGTGGATTCACTAGGTCAACGGTCACAATACCCTCCTGTGTGTCGTAGGAGGTCTGAGGACGCCTGTGTCCTGAGGTGTGGGTGTGGGTGTGGGTCATGATAGGCTGGGAGCTGGGATTTGAAGTATAGCAAGAGCAGCTCACTCCATCTACCAACCAAAACACTCTGAAGATTGTGCACTTGCCTTGAGCATGGTTGGATGATGATGATGAGCGTAGGGAAAGATGTGGTGGCAAAGTTGAATGACAGAGCACCTTTCAATATATGACAAAGTTTCCTATGGGGCATTCAGATGAGTTGGACATCCTACTGGTCTGACAATGGCATTTCTCTTGGGTAAGTGCAGTCTTAACTCTCTCTTATGTGGGCATCTTCTTGGCTGCCTGCTTGATTGGCCCTGTGTGCCAGTGGTGCATGCTCTACTGGGTGCAGCCCATTCTGGCTATGGGTGTGTCCAGCATTGAGCATGGCTGCCTGGTCCTCATCTTTCAGCAGGGTGGCCTCGGAACCTTGATGTGCTGTCAAGGCTCTTCCCTGGTACATCTGCCCATGTCTTTTCAGCTCAGTTTGTAAAGGTCTTCAGACCAAGAACAGTGACTTCTGTCCCAAAGCCTCAAGATATCATCCTGCTCAGACACATCTATCTTGGGTCCTCTGCAAGAGGACCTGACCATCGAAGGTACCAGAGAGCCTTAGTTTAACACCTCTCTCCTGCATGTAGCCCTGTCAGCCCTCTGGGATGCTTGGAAGGCCAGGCTCCTTGCCTCCTTGCACTGGTCACCTACACAACGGGACTGGGATGGGTCTTGGAGGAGGGGATTCTCTCTGTCTTTGTGTGTAAGGAACATTCACGCAAAAGAGTTTCTCCAAAGGGCTGATCTCTGAGCTCTATCAGTTTTCCCATCGGTACCCCCAAAAAACAAATGCAGAGGACCAGAACATTGAAGCCAGCAATTTCTGTTTGGAAATAGGGTCGTCTTCTGCTGCTGACCCCCATCAAATCCCATCATGCCCACAGCCCTGTGCCCCCGAGTCTTGGCTCCGAAGGAAAGTGAGGAGCCCAGGAAAATGAGGAGCCCACCTGGAGAAAAACCTAGCCCCCAAGGAGAGCTCCCCAGCCCAGAGTCCTCCCGTCGCCTTTTCCGCCGTTTTCGCTACCAGGAGGCGGCAGGTCCTCGCGAGGCCCTGCACCGCCTCTGGGACCTGTGCCGAGGCTGGCTGCGGCCTGAGAGGCACACCAAGGAGCAGATCCTGGAACTTCTGGTGCTGGAGCAGTTTCTGGCCATCCTGCCCCGGGAGATCCAGAGCTGGGTGCGGGCCCAGGAGCCTGAGAATGGTGAGCAGGCTGTGGCCGCAGTGGAGACACTGGAGCGAGAGCCCGGGAGACCCTGGCAGTGGGTGAGTGGAGGGGGTTGTCTAGATTGGGCAGTGGGGCTGGGAGTAAGCATGCTGATGGGGTTAACGGTTCCCTTCCCAGGCTGTGGAATTTTGTCTAAAACCCACTGTATACCTACATTAGGTCCAGATGTGACCTCGCCTTCTCAAGAAGGCAGGTTTCTTCCCCCAAATGTCCTAATGCAGTGCCTGATTACATCTCCTCCCTTTATAGCCCTATTCATAGCCTCTGCCCATCAGCTATAGGTCAGCCAACAAGCCCAGGGGAGGGAGGGAGAGAGCTTGCCCAGCCCCTTGTAGGGCAGAGCCAGTCCAACCTTACCCAAGGCCAACTCCATCTGAAAACTCTTTTCTGGGATTGTAGCTCAAGCACTGTGAAGACCCTGTGGTGATCGATGATGGGGATGGCCATGCAGATCAAGAGCAGGATCGACTACCCACAGAGTCCCAAGATGACCTTGCAAAGAGCCAGGAGGCCCATCCCATGGCCCTGGCAGAAAATGCAGGGTTCCCAAGCCAATCGCCAGGGCAGCTCAGCGGGGACCCAGGTACAGAGTCCATGGGAGTGTTGTGAGCCATGGGCTAGGGAGCACCCAGTGCTCTCAGTGAAGCCCTTGGGGGAGCAGCGGTGTTCTGGATAATGTCATGGAGGTAACAGTTTGGATCCCTAGTCTTCTGTAGTCTCTCAGGTATTTGAACCATGATCAAAATCTGCTCTTCACATAGAGCATTGGAATCAGATTCACAATATCTTCATTATGCTAGGTCCTCCAGGGAGTTCTTTCTGTCAATAAGGATCACTGAGGGGGTGTGTTACTGGCCAAGAACATGCCTACTTGTCTCTTGGAGCCTCACTTTCCCCAGTGCTGCAAGCCCTGCCCACATAGTCAGCTAGGGAATGTAAGAAAGCAAGCATAACACAAAATGCTTCCAAGAGGTGGTCTCTCCAGGGTAAAGGGCCTGAGGTTTGACGATTGATGCAAATTGCACTGGTTTTGAATCTTCTGAAGAGCCATGGTGATGTAATGGTTTTGTGTTGGGCTGCGATCCGCAGGTTTCACAGTTCAAAACCACCAGCCGCCTCACAGGAGAAAGACTGGGCTTTCTACTACTGTAAACAATAGTTTCAGAAACGGGGTCAGTTCTACCTAATTCGATATGGTTGTTCTAAGTCAGCATCGACTTGATGGCACTGAATTTTTTGTTGTTACTGTTTTCTGGGGGTTTTTTTGCATCTTCTACAATCCTGGGCTTATTTAAAAACCCATTAAGTCTTAGCCCTTAGTCATCCATATTGGTGTTTTGAGAATAAGATGTAGCACAGAGCTATAAATTCTTTTCTTTTTTCCCTCTAGTACATACTTTTTAACAGTTTAAAGAAAATTTTTAATAGTTTTATTAGCATTTCATTCACATGCCATAAGATTCAATAATTCAATCATAATCCAGAAGAGTTGTACAATCATCACCGTATTCCATTCTATTCTAGAACATTTTCTTCCTTCTAGTCATTGTTTTTCATGTATTTTTTTTTCTAATTGTGGCAAAAACACACACAAGAACAGTCTCCATTTCCACAACTTCTAGTTGTATAATTCAGTGCCACTGATTATGCTCTTCATATTGTACAAGTGTTACCGATATCCTTTTCCAAGTTATTCTGCCTTTAACATAAACTCCATGTCCCCTACACAACAACACTTCAGTACAAAGTTTGTAGTTGATGTAGTTTTCGTGGGGAGGTAGGTGCCTGCAGGTCACACAGAAAGGCCGTGACATCAGAGTGGTCTGAGTGAGCTTCCACATTGCCCTGTAGTTCTAGATTGTGGGGTGGGGGGTGGGGTGTGGAGTCACAAGCTTATTCTTGTGACTCACTTGGCAATTATATTAATTTTTTAATATTTTGAATTTTTACAAAGAAAATACTTGTTAAGTTTCTCTGTATGTGAAAGTCTAACCTCTGTCTAAGTTAAGTGAACTTGGACTTCAACTTCTTGTTTAAAAACCATGGTATGCATAAGGGATATAACCCATGCAGGTCGGGAAAGCATCAGCCGGTACTGAGTGGTCCGTTCTGGTCTGTACTGGATGGACAGGCGGTGAGGGCCAGCAGTGAGGCCAGGGGAAGTGCTGGGGAAAGACTGTCTGTGTCGCTTCCTAGTGCTGCTGTAAAAGAAGCCAGCCACCACACGTAGACTTTAGAGAAAAGAGCATAAGCTTGTTCATTTCCTTGAGCGCTAATAAATGGGCAAAGTAGACATGACAGGAGTCAGATATAAAACAATTCTAATGCCATTAGGATGGCTGTTATTAGAATGAGCCACATAAAAACAGTAGAATTTCTAATCTGAAACATCTCCTCCCTCCCGAAACTAACAAATAGACAACATTCTTAAGTGATTTCATTTAAGGCCTGAAAGCTTGCCAACGCCATCTGCCAAGTGTTCCATGACGGGCGATAGGGCGGGACTGTAGCCCAGCTTCCAGAAGGTGGTGGGGTATCAGAGAGCATAATGAAAAGCCCCTCTCCCCAGCCTGAACTTTCAGTAGCAGAAGGAAGAGGTCACCTCTGGTGACCCTCTCAGGCACTGCACTGCCAGCTGTGCCAGCTCCTGGGCCCAGCTCCTTGCTCCAAATAGCTACACTGGCACCTGTTGCTTCCTAAGGGCTTTGCACCTGCTACAGAAAGGTCAGGGCTACCGGCATCTCTCAGTTTGGGCACCAGTATGACACCCGACCTTGGAATTTGCTCTAAGCAGAGAAATTAGAGTGCAGCTTTCCAACTTTTAATCTTGGAAAGAAGTACCAGGCTAATTCTTATATGGGTATACTGTAAGCCTGTGGCTTAGTTCCTGTCCAAGCAAGCCACCATTGCCAAATGGGAGAGAGATCATAGTAGAGCATGGCAGAGGCTGCATGCCCTTAGGAGAGTATTTGGGAGCTAAAAATAAAGTGGGTGAGATGGTCCCACAGCCATACCCTGTCAAGTGTTGTGTGTTGGGACTTAGGGTGCTGAACCAAATGCTTTTCCAGATGCTCTAATAATGATACCAGTCCTTTTTTCCCTATTTGTGTTCCTTTTTCTGACAGTTTACATTGACATATAATTCACAAATCCTACAATCCAATAGTTCAGTCCTCTTAAGACTTGTACAATTATCACCACCCTCAGTTTTAGAATGTTTTCTGTGTATCAGCCTTTTGTTGAGTTTTGTGATATGGAAACTCATATGCCTCTGGCAACATTTCACACTAACCCTTTCTGACAGCAACCCTCTGATACCTCAAGGCCATCGTTTTGAATTCTTTTTTTTTCTTTTGTTCTTTTTTTTCTTTTTTAATTTTAATCATTTATTAAGGACTCATACAACTCTTATCACAATCCATACACACATCAATTGTGTAAAGCACATTTGTACATTCATTGCCCTCATCATTCTCAAAACATTTGCTCTCCACCCAAGCCCCTGGTATCAGCTCATTTTCCCCACCTCTCTCCCCGCTGCCCCCTCCCTCATGAACCCTTGATAATTTACAAATTAGTACTTTGTCATATCCATAGTTTTGAATTCTATAACCTTCATATTGCAGATGATAAAATAGTTCCCTGGACCTGCAGATAGTCACATAGCTAATTAGGGGCAAAGCCAATTTGACCTGGGTATTCTCTTTTCAAGCATCACTGCGTGGTGCAGACCGTTAAATGCATGACTCTCGACTGGCAGATAGCAACCCAGAGGTGCTTCAGAAGACAAACCTGATGATCACCTGTGTCAGACGGGTCACGTCCTGGAAAACCCTACAACAGTCTGCACTGCACACGGGTCTCCATGGATTGCAGCTGACAGCAGTGACAGTTCAGGCGCTCATTCCTCGTAGAAGCCTACTTTGCTTTCTCTGAAAGACCAGTACATCTTGTCCTTGTGAAATGCTTTTCACATGCATTACCTCAAAATCCTCATTTTATAGGTGAGAAAAGATGTAGGGCTTTGTGAAGTGTTCCGAAAAATGGCTAGCTGTTGCCTCATTTCTTGTGATTTCCTTCACCCAACAAAACAAATGCCGAGGACCCTACAGAGGGAGAGAGATGCCATGGCAAGACCTCACCCCCTTGGAACAACTTTTTCCATCTCTTTCAGTTTCCCAAGATCTCTCCCTTCTTCAAGAAGAGAGCGTGAGTGACACACAAGTGACCAGCTTCCAGCTGCCTCAGGTGAGCACATTCTTCAAGAGCCCGTGAAAACCCCGTGTTTGTCTTTCCCTGAGCCCTAATCCCTCCCTACAGAGCATCTTTCCCAGGACCCTGGCCCAGCTTGTACTTGCTCACACAGGCTGTCCAGCCCCAGCCGAGGAAAATGAAAGGATGTATGCTTTTGAGATACCCCACTCCTTCCTGTCAGCCTAATCCATGCTTCTACCTCTGAGGCCTCTTCGGCTTTGAGCAAAGACAATCACTGGAGAAAGCAAATGCCCACATCGGTTTTACAGCTCAGGAGGCCCTCTGGATCAGCATCTTCGCAGCCCAGAGATCGCCTGGGAAAAAGAGAAACCTCTTCATTCTTGTACCTTCACATGATTACTAAAGTATTAATCCTAGTGAGAATGCTATTTCAGAAATGTTAGGGAAGATAATTTCACTGTCACATCACCACTGGTGGAATGTTGAGAATTTCCTTAGCATTTTTGCTGTTTCCTTTTCTGCTGGTGGGAGGGTGAGCTGCTACCTGCAGGTGTTCTCACTCACCTGTGTCTAGGTGCTGCCTTTGCCCCGCTTTCTCTGGGATACCCCATGCCTTTTCCTCCGTAACACAGTCCACTGCCTGGTCCGATGTGTAGCTGTTCAAGCAATATCTCCTCCCACTATAAAACGAACTTCATGGTGGCATGGATTTTTGTTCATTGTTCCACTCAACAGACAAGATGACTGGAAGCATAGGAGACACTTTAAAAACAAGCTCAGAGAATTAGGAAAAAGAAGTGTTTGCTGGTAGCCCATGTGTCTCCAGGATTTTAAACCTGGAGAGCTGGGTAGGATTAGGCATGAGAAGGAATCAGCTGGATTCCTGAGGTGGGAGGCATCTTGTTCCCTGCCTTCGTTTCCCGGAGAAAAACAGCACACACCATGCACATGTGTTTCAGCGTCGACAGTGAGTGGTGTGCGCTCTGATTGGTGGCTAATGATTGTCCTGTGGCGATTACTGAACCCAAATGTCTGAAGGACAGAAGTGCTTGTTTTTCTTAATAAAAAGTAAGGCCTTTAACCAGTACAGCATGCAAAGGGGTGCTGAAATTCTAGTTATCTTCAGTCTTTCAGCTCCCTGGTAAATGCCGTGCCCATAGAGAGTATGTCCTATCCCTGTGGGTTCCCAAGACTTGAACTCTTTACAGAAGCAGATTGTAACTTGGTTTAAAACTGCCACCAGGGCTCCTCAGAGAGTACATACATTGTAATGAATTAATGGCATTGTGTCCTCCTGCTGCAGACATAGTCTCTGCCCAATACATAAAAAGTTGTCCTCGAGAGGATTTTTTAAATTTAAGTTTATCTTTAAATTAATTCTTTTCTTTTAAATAAGTGAAGATTCACACAGCTGTAAGAAATAATCCAGAGAGATCTTTTGCACTCTTTACATAGTTTTCCTCAAGGGCACCGTCTTGTAAAATTAATACAATGTCACAACTGAGATGTTGGCATTGATAGCCCAGACACAGCACATACTTGCTTCACCAGAAGCTCCTTCTTATCCTTTTGTACCTACACCCACGTCTCTCCTCCCCCCAGTCCCTGGTCCTTATGTCTGACAACCAGCAATCTGTTCTCCATTTCTATAACGGTGTCATTTCAAGAATGTTAGATAAAAGAACCATACGGCATGTATCTTTTTGTGTCGTCAGTTAACCATTCACCCAAGGGCATCTGGGTTGTTAACCATATGGAGGCATTTATGAATAAACTTGCTATAAACATTTCTGCAAAGGTTTCTGTGTGAACATAAGTCTTCATTTATCTGAGAGACATTCCCAGAGTGCAATTGTTGGATGATATGGTGAACACATCATTTTGTAAAAAACACCTACCATATATACTTATGTATAAGCCGATTTTTTTCAGCACATTTTTAATGCAGTTTTTGTGCTAAAATTAGGTGCGTCGGCTGATGATCGGTCAGCTTATACTCGAGTATATATGGCATATCCTTTTCTAAAGTGGCTGTACCATACATTGTACATTCTCACATAAATGAATGAGTCTCAATTTCTGCATCACTATTTTTTACTAACCTTTTTTTTTTTAATTTTTATGTTAGCCATTTTGGTAGCTGAACAATGATGGCTAATGGTGTGGAGCATTGTTTGTGGGTTGATTTGCTATCTGTGTACCCACTTTGATGACATATTTCTTCATGCCTTGTGAACGAAGAAGATCCATTATTTGTACTTATTCCAAAGAAAGATGACCCAGCAGATGCTCAAACTATAGAACAATATCACTGAGACCACATGCAAGGACATTTTTCAGAAGATCATCCAACAACGGTTGCAGAAGTACCTTGACAGGGAGCTACCAGAGGTTCAGGCCCAATTCAGAAGAGGACTTAGAAGAAGGAATAGCATTGTTGATGTCAGATGGATCTTGACTTAAAGGAGAGAATACCAAAAAGATGTTTACTTGTGTTTTATTGACTATACCAGAACATTCCACTATGTGCAGTATAGATAACTATAGATAACCTTGAAAAGAATGGGAATTCCAGAACACTACATTGTACTCATGTGGAACTTGTACACATATCAACAGGCAGTTATGTGAACAGAAAAGGAAATACTACATGATTTAAAATCAGGAAAGGTGAATGTCAGACCTGTATCCTCTTACTGTAATTATTCATTTTATATACTATGCAAATCATCCAGAGAAGCTGAATTATATGAAGAAGAATGTGGCATCAGGATTAAAAGAAGGCGTATTCACCTGGAATATTTAGATAACATAACCTTGCTTGGTAAAAGTGAGGAGAACTTACAGCACTTGCTGATGAAGATTAGCGATTGCAGCCTTCAGCGTGGATGTCGACAATGTAAAGACCAAAATCCTCACAACTGAATTACAGGTAACATGAAAAATGGAGAAATGTTGGAATTGTCAAGGATTTCATCTTGCTTGGATCCATAATAAATGCAATCTAGAGATCAAAAGACATTGCATTAGGTAAATCTCTGCACAAGACCTCTTTAGAGTATTAGGAAGAGCAAGGGTGTTACTTTGAAGATAAACTGCATCTGCTCAAAGCCTTGGTGTTTTCAGTTGCCTTGTTTGCATGGGAAAGTTGGACATTGAATAAGGAAGACCAAAGATGCATCTGCGTTTGAATTGTGCGGTGAACATTGAAAGTACCACAGTGCTAAAAGGACAAACTGATCTGTCTTGGCAGAAGTA